GAAGGGAGGAGGAAGGGGGGAGGGGAGGAGGGGAGGAAGGGGGGAGGAGGGGGGTGCTCGGAAGTGAAGAGGAGACAGGTGGGGAAGGTGAGCCCCGTGTTCCGGGTGGAGGGCCGTCAGTCTTGTCCCTGACGAGCCCTGAGAACAGTCAGCCGCCCCAGCCCCACCTCCGTGCAGGCAGGAGGGCCTCCCTGACATCCACCTCTGACTGTGATGAGGGCCGGCCCTTCGCCCAGGGAGGCAGTGGCCGGAGGACCATGGGGAACTGGGTCTGCAGCCCTGAGGCCCGGCAGCATGACCTCACCCTTCGGACTTCCTGAAAAGGACCCTGCACATGGGGCTGAGAATCCGCACAGGAGATGCTCTTGGTCCAGTCCAACCTGGGCTAGGAAGTGGGAGGGACTTGTCAAACCAGACTTGGCTCCTTCTGGAACGGCCATCTGACATGGGGCTGTGGCTCCCTCTGCCTTGCTGCACCGAGGAGCGGGCGGCCTCTGACCCGGGCGGCAGGTCGACCCGACGGTCCCTGAGCACAGCTTGTGGAGCAGTTTCTCATGACGCTGTCGGGGACGGGTCTTCCTCAGAGCTCAGAAGACCGTCAAGTCAAGAACCCCAGCCTGCCAGGACAACTTGGTGGTCCCTGGGGCCCCTCAGCGCTTAGGACAGAGAGAGGACCCGCAAGGTCCTCCACCTCTGGGGGACGGTCTGGTCTGGAGGCACGTCCGGAATCGGAGGGGCTCGAACCTCAGAATTTCTGGTGAGCGGTGAGGTGGGGAGCCAGGCGCTGCCCTCCCCCTGCCTGAGAACTTCTTCCCAAAGCCATGAAGCAGAGATGGTGTCTTACACCTCCGGCTCCATGTATCTGTGGCTGCCCTTGAGGCTGTAATTGGGATCAGTTTAAGGAGCACTTATTGGGCACCAGCTGTATGCACTGTGCTAGATCGCAGAGCTAAGCAGGAGGCTGCCTGTCCTGAAGGCTTCCGTCCTGGCGGGGGAGGCAGACCCAGGGCCCTAAGGCCGGCACTGCATGGACTGGGCTCCTCAGAGCCGAGTGGCCAGAGCTGCAGGAAAAGCCCGCAGCGGTGCACTGTCTGGCTGGGTGGGGTGGCCTGGAGGGGAAGGAGGCAACATGGGAAGCAGGGAGGAGGTGAGGATGCTGTGGGCCAGCTGGGCGACGGATGTCTTCCCACTGATTGAGCAAGAGGGGCAGGTCTGGGGACACTTAAGATTTAGATCAACGCTTCCCATCCCATGTTGGAATGTGGACACTAAAGCATCTCCATTTTCCTGCATAAATCCGGGGAGAGTCTGAGAGACGGGCCTGGCACTCATCCAACACACCGCATTTTCTCCCTGGGTCTCTGACAGCCTTTGTCTGCAGCCTCGCTGGGGGCTCAGACAGTAAAGAGTCTGCCTGCAATACAAGAGACCCTAGTTCGATCCCTGGGTGGGGAAGATCCTCTGGAGGAGGAAATGGCAACCCACTCCAGTATTCTTGCCTGAAAAGTCCTGTGGACAGAGGAGACTGATGGGCTACAGTCTAAAGGGTCACAAAAAGTCCTACATGACTGAGCAGCTAACACATTCCTACATTCCCCGGCGGCCAGGCCAGGGGCCAGAGCTCCAGCCAGGGGACCCTGGACGCTGTGCAGAGCAGGTTCCTACCTCACCCCTGAGATGCCGCACATCCTGGACTGCGTAGGAGGGCGAAGCCAAGCTGCTGCCACATTAAAGCCACCAAAACGCTGGGGTCGCTAACACAGCTCTTAGTTTATGTAACTGCTGCAGCCAGGAAGGGGGAAAGAATAATCCCATGTTGGAATGTGGACACTAAAGCATCTCCATTTTCCTGCATAAATCCGGGGAGAGTCTGAGAGACGGGCCTGGCACTCATCCAACACACTGCATTTTCTCCCTGGGTCTCTGACAGCCTTTCTCTCCAGCCTCGCTGGGGGCTCAGACAGTAAAGAGTCTGCCTGCAATACAAGAGACCCTAGTTCAATCCCTGGGTGGGGAAGATCCCCTGGAGGAGGAAATGGCAACCCGCTCCAGTATTCTTGCCTGAAAAGTCCTGTGGACAGAGGAGACTGATGGGCTACAGTCTAAAGGGTCACAAAAAGTCCTACATGACTGAGCAGCTGACACATTCCTACATTCCCCGGGGGCCAGGCCAGGGGCCAGAGCTCCAGCCAGGGGACCCTGGACGCTGTGCAGAGCAGGTTCCTACCTCACCCCCGAGATGCCGCACATCCTGGACTGCGTAGGAGGGCGAAGCCAAGCTGCTGCCGCATTAAAGCCACCAAAACGCTGGGGTCGCTAACACAGCTCTTACTTTATGTAACTGCTGCAGCCAGGAAGGGGGAAAGAATGGGGGGAGGGTGGGGGAGCAGGGGGACCCCAAATCACAGCTCTGCCTCTCTCCTGCATGTCCAGCGTCTGTGCCCGGGAACCTGCCATGGACCAGAGAGCAGACCGCAGGGGACTGACGTGCGCTGCCCACTCGGCTGCAGGAAGGACATGCTCTCTGGACTCACGGAGGTGAGGGCGGAGGCGGCCTGTCTGCGGGGTGAGGATGGGCGGATGGGGCACCAGGCTTAATGGGCGGGAGGCGCCGAGGGCTGCAGCCCTGTCTCTGAGATGGGGTCAGACTCCAGAGGAACTGCTGCCCAGGAGCGTGGCCCCGGCACACACCCAGGACACGCCGCTGAACCCTAGCACAACCTGCCCTGGGGGCGTCCGCTGCCCCCACAGCTCCATCCAGCTTCCCCCACCGCTCCCCATCTGCGCAGAGGACATTTAACAGCGGGGTGTTCAAAGTGCTCTCGCCAGCAAACCCATGCGGCAAGGCTGTGACTGGGCTGGCAGGAGAAGCGCTAAAAATACTCCTGGAGGAGCTCCCGCGGCGCGGGGAGCTGCGGTGGCCAATTACGGGGGCGGCGCGGGGGGTGCGCCAGGGCTGCCTGCAGGGAGGGCAGGCGCGCGTTCCCCGCAGGAGGAGGACAGGGTCGTGGCCTGGAGCGCGCTGCCCCGCGGGTGTGGGCTGGGGCAGCGTTTCCTCAGCGACAGCAGAGGGGCCCAGCTTCAGAGCCTGTGGTCCCCTGAGCTGCGGGAAGATCTGCTCCTTCCTAAGCAGCAGCCACGGGTGGGTTCTTTTCCTGACAAATCACGCTGGTTCAGATCGGCTGCTTCCCTCCCTTCTCTCACCCAGGGCTCAGAACAGCAGCGCTGAAACCGCGGCTGGCGGGCATCCGCTCCAGGCTCTGCCTCACCTTCCTCCTCACAGGCTGGGGTCCCGCCTGTGTCTCCTGCTTTCCCGCACCCAGGGTCCAGATGCTCCCCTCGCACCCTCCCCACTCAGATGCCATCTGTCCTGCCGTCTCTGAGCGTGAAAACACGCCGAAGGCATCCAGACCTGCACCAAACTATTCCCATTGCATCTGTGGCTTCTCTGCGGTCCTCTTTACCTGGGTTTTGTAACTCAAGTAGCATGAACTTCTGTGTTCCGTGAAGAGCTGTGAAACTAACACAGCCCTTCCTGAGTTTGGGGACGGGCATCTGGTGAGCGAATCATAAAGTCAGACGTGTGTGTGTGTGTGTGCTCGGCCGTGTCTGACTCTCTGTGACCCCGTGGACTGTAGCCCACCAGGCTCCTCTCTCCACGGGATTATCCAGGCAGGAGTACTGGAGTGGGTTGCCATCTCCTTCTCCAGGGGATCTTCCCGACTCAGGGATCAAATCCACACCTCCTGCACGTCCTGCGCTGGCAGGCGGATTCTTAACCACCGTGCCACCTGGAAAGAGCATACAGTCCGATAGGGCGACAGACCGCACACAGGTCTGCAGACAACACAGGTAAGAGACATGTTTACTGAGACCATGTCGGCTGTGAGGGTTACCAGTGAAAAATGCCCCATGTGCTCATTGTAAACACTGTCTCAGCAAGAGAAAAAGGACGTGATTTGACAAGAGTGTGAACAGCTAGTGCCTACGAATTGGAAGGACTCCAGCCGGGGCCCCAGGCTCTGCCTCAAAATTGTTCTCTTCACCCTCTCCCAACACAGGGCCTGGGGAAATCTGGAGAGGACTGCGACAGGAATGATTGATGACAAAGTCAAGGCCGGAGTCCTTGAGACACGTGGGACCCTGGCCTGGACCCTGGAGAGCTGAGCATCTTGCAAGAGAAGACATGCAGTCCTCCTCGCCGCTCTGCACTCAGGGACGGTGTGGCGGTGGCTGGAATCCGACAGATGGACATGGATTCATAGACAAAGATGCGTAGACACGGATGCTTGGGTGAATTCATAGACAAAGACACATAGAAACGGATGCATGGGTGGATTCATAGACAAAGATGTGTAGACACGGATACATGAGTGAATTCACAAAGATGTGTAGAAATGGATGCATGGGTGAATTCACAAAGACACGTAGACACGGATGCATGGGTGAATTCATAGACAAAAACACATAGACATGGATGCATGGGTGGATTCACAGACAAAGACACACAGACACGGATTCATGGGTGAATTTGTAGACAAAGACATGTAGACACAGATGCATGGGTGGATTCATAGACAAAGATGCATAGACATGGATGTGTGGGTGGATTCACAGACAAAGACGCACAGACACGGATGCATGTATGTGGACACACTTTATGGGTGCCGGGACCACAGAAACAGGCACGCTCTACATCAGGGCTCTCCCCAGCCTGCCAAGAGCCAGTTGTAAGGCATTTACCAAGTACGCCTCGACTAAAAGCCTTCTCTATCCTTAATTCAAGTGGGCTGCTTTACTGGTTTTGGTTCTCACTTGAAACTCCTGCAGGATGGCCTGTCCCATAGCCGACCTTGGGATCTGACATGTGTCTGCTGCCTTGCCTTGTCCCTGCAGGTCTGCTGAAGTCACCACATGTCGGGCAGCTCTTCCCCCCACTGGGGAAAGGACGACCCCACTTCTCTCCCTGTCCCCCGCGAAGTCAGCCTCTGACACTCTGAACCCAGTGTTGCACCTTATTCCTCCCAAATAACTTCCCACTGCTTCTCTGCAATGCTCCATCACTTATCAGCTTCATGGCCTTGATAGTCTTGTAACATTTACATGCCACATCAGAATAATGACTTATAAATGTGAATAATAATACTAACTTGAAATTATGGTTGAGAGACTGAAATTACACACGGACATGAAAATTACTTGTGTTTAGTAGCTACCTGTGGTTTTTAGAGATAACTAATCAATTTCCCATAAAAATACATCAGAATATCACGTAAAATTCAAAGGTGAGAGACAGTAAATAAAACACAGGTCTAGATTCAGAGAAATGAAGTTGAGCTGAAAAGCCATTAGCAATTTGGACCTTGACAAAATGGGTTGGTGTATGCCTTAGTTCATGTGGAAATGATTTACAGATAGATGTAGGACACTTTATCTGGTGGACCCAGTCAGGGAGTTTGCCAGCACCTTAAGTACAGGTATTGCAGGGTTTGGACCAGCCTTGATTCTCCAGGGCTGTGCTGACTGTCGTGATGCTGGTAATGACCCCAGCTAACCTTATCAACTATTTATTATGTAAGCCATGGACCACAGACACTCCGACCCCTCCTTGCTGTGCATTTTCTCATTTAACGGTCATAACTTAACTGTTGTGTAAGAAGGAATTTGACTGATACTGAAGCTGAAACTCCAATAATTTGGCCACCTGATGCGAAGAACTGACTCACTGGAAAAGACCCTGATGCTGGGAAGGATTGAGGGGGCAGGAGGAGAAGGGGATGACAGAGGATGAGATGGTTGGAAGGCATCACCAACTCGATGGACACGAGTTTGAGTAAACTCCGGGAGTTGGTGATGGACAGGGAGGCCTGGTGTGCTGCAGTCCATGGGGTCAAGAAGAGTCAGACACGACTGAGCGACTGAACAGACTGAATTTCCCTGGAGACACAAGTGTCTCTGGTCCTCCAGAGGCCCTGGAGAGCTTACGCTGAGGAGGTGCTCGGAGCGGGGTGGCCATGCCAGCAAGGCTGACCGAGTGAGGCCAGCCTGCCCTCTGACCTCTATGAGAGGCAAGAGGCTGAGATGGCATTCAGTCTACGTAGAGACCAGTGAAAACTCTGGGCGAGACCGCATCCACCTGCCACGAGGGTGGGTGATGCCCCGGCTCCACGGCAGAGGGCCCTGGGGCCACCCAGAGCTCCCCGTGTGCCTCTTCCTTTGGTGGACCCCGATTCGTGTCCTGGAAAGCAGAGCTGCAGACAGAGTGCTTTTCTGGTTCTGCGAGTCACCCTGAATTATTGCCCCCAAGGACGCCACGGGAACCCTGGGATTTACCGTCTGTGGTCAGAAGGGTGGCGGACTGAGGCTCGAGCCTGGAGTGTGGGCGGCACCTCTGCCTTTAACCCGCACAGCTGGCCGCTGCCTCCAGGCCAGGACATGCGGCTGCCCACCAGTGGGGCCCCCAGGCTGATGAGAGAGCAGACAGCCAGAGAGGCCAGGCAGTGAGCACCAGATCCGCTTTGAGTTGGTGACACGGCTGACCCGCGTCCACACTGCGGGGACCTGCGTCTCCGGGGAAACGGCATTTCCTCTGGACCACACCTGGGCGTGCAGACCAGGAACACGAGAACAGAGGGCTGCCCGCAGAGAGCCTCCCAGCCGTGGGAGCAGACCTGCTTGCTTGGGGAGCAAGGGTCTCCTCAGCGTACTGTGCAGGGGTCACGGGCCACAGTGGATGCCGTCCCCCACCTCGGCCCGAGTGATAAAGACGGGGGTCTCAGGGTCACAGGAATGTCAAGAAAAGGACACACGTGGCCAGCGGGCAGAGGCGGCCTGTCTGCTGTGAGGAGGGTTTTGATTTTTCCCCCTTCCTGTGCCCGCGAGTGTGTCCGAGCTCCCTGCGGCCGTGTGTGGTGTCCTCATGCTGGGCCAAGTGTCGGCCTTTGTTTATTTTCCTTCACGCCCCGTGGGTTCAGCTTTAAGTCAGAGTGTGCCCCCGGATGCGATCGGCGTGTTTTAACCCGGGGACGGAGCTGAAATGCTGCCTCGGCAGGATCTGCCGGCTCTTGAACCGTCTATTAAGCCCCGAGAACCTGATATTAAGCCGCTCTTTGAGTCTCATCCAGGCGTAATGCACGGCTCGGCTGAGAGGCTAGCATGGGGCGAGGCTGCACAGGGTGTAATCACAGCCATTCCCAAGCGTCGGGCAGCCAGGCCTGCAGTCCATGCCTTTGGCCGCAGGCAGCTCCCCGAAGGACCGAGGGGACCCCATCCTGGCCTTTGGAGCACGGCCACGGCAGAGGAACCCGTGGCCAGCCATTCCCATGGGGGACCGGATGCTGTCCCCCAGGAGGGGCCCCTGCTCAGGGTTGGTGGGAAAAGTCAGCATCTCTGGGGACACTGTCGCTGCTTGCGGCCCTTCCCAGGCGGGTGCCTACAAGAAGGGGCCCCTGACCCCCACCTCCCTTGAGATCTGGACTCCCGAGTCCAGGCCCCCAGGGCCTGGTCCTTCCCTCGGGGCTGCAGCCCCAGGCTGCCCTCTGGAAACTGTGGGAAGGCCCGGGAAGCTTCAGTCGTGGAGGGCGAGGTGCCCCCCGGATAGCAGAGGTGGACTGGGCAGAGGGTGGCTTTGCTTCTGTTGTCTTCATGAGAAAACCCAGGCCCGGGGGCCCCTGAGTCTGCGATGGGACTTGGCCTGGGGCAGGCACCTGCGGGCTGGACTTGGCCGCCCCCGGAGGCACAGGGCGCAGCCCTGCCAGGACTTGACTCTTTCTGACGCTGCAGACGCCGCTGACTCGGTAGCTCCTGCTCGGAGGAGGGATCTCTCTAGATGACTGTCAGCCGGACACCATCCCACAGGCCACCAACCAGGAAAGCTGAAGATTTCTGAGGGCCAGGCTGATGTGGGGGTTGGAAAAGGTGCATTTTCAAATAACGTATCCAAGAGGGGTGGAATTAAAAAGCAAGCCTTAATGGTAGCCCTGGATCTAACCAATTAAGAAGGAAAGCCCCGTGATAGCGACGGCGGCACGTGGACCGATCAATCAGCGTGACACGCGCACCCCTCCCGGTGACTGGCGGGACGGAGGGTGCAGGGCCGGCAGGCGTGAGTCACCGCGGTGGGGCGTTCACGGGCTTTATTATGCTTGCAGTGTCTGCTCACGTAGCAATTGCCCTTGACCCCAAATGAATCTTGCGTATGCCATCTTCTCTGCTTGATCAGCCTCTTCTACGCAGAATGGGGCACAAACGTTTGAACGTCCCCGCCTGCCCCTGTCAGCGGCCATCTAAGCCGACACCTCCACCCGGATGCTAACTTCCTGGGTGTGCAGCGGGGCTTCCGGAGGGGCAGCTAAAGCCCGCCGGTCAGTGTGGCTCAGGCCTGCATCCCAAGGCTCCCCCAGAGTTTTCGGTTACCCTCCTGAGCAGCGGTGGGTCCAGAGTTCTAGAATGATCCAGCAGATGGGAGGCAGGCTCTGGTCAGACGCAGATCAGCAACCTGGTGCCAGCCCTGGACCTCGTGTTTAGCGGGGATTTGTCCAGAGCTTGCCACAGGAAAGCCAGCTCTCTCCTGTCAGAAACTGTCCAGCTTTCAGTTTTAAATCCAGCTAACGTATCTATGGGAATTGCCTTTTTATGTGCCTCTTTGGCTTTTGCGATGCATTTTATATGTCATTTAAAATGCAGGCTTGTGGTGGTGGGGGGTGGTTTAGTCAGTAAGTGTTTGACTTCTGCAACCACATGAGCTACAGCCCGCCAGGCTCCTCTGTCCACGGGATTCTCCAGGCAAGAATACTGGAGTGGGCTGCCATTCCCTCCAGGGGAATTTGCCAACCCAGGGATCGAACGCGGGTCTCCTGATTAACAGGCTGCCTCTTTAGCAACTGAGACACCAGGGAAGCCGCAACATGTTGGCTTAAGGAAGATGCATCTCGACATTTCAGAATTAATTTCTGCCTCCAAGGCCCTGGTGTCCCAGACTCCCGCACCCACCTAGTCCTCCTGCTGAGGTTCCTAGAGGCTCCGAGAAGTGAGGGCTTTGCCCCAAGGCACCCCGCTGGCAGATTTCAGCACCCCCAACTCACTGCTGCCCTCCCTGGAAGGAGCCAGCCCCGGAGCCGGGACTCAGAGTCCCATGGCTCTCAAGTCGGATCATCTCTTGTTCTGCCAGGATGTGTGGGAGAAGCCTCCTAGGCTGTTGCTACCCAACACGGACCGGTCCTCTGTCTCGTGGCGTCTCATGGCTCCTCCCCACACCCGCACCACCCCCCCTACCCCGGCCCAGGCCGCCTCTGCCTCCATCCCCCTGCCTCCGCGCTGCCCGGGGTGGCCCGCCAGCCCTGTGGCTCTGTTCTCCCCCCAGTCCGTGCTCACGTCCACGCTCCCCTCTGCGTCCACAGGCCGCTCCTCTGCACCCCTCCGGGCCTTGCTGGTCCCCTGCGGGCCCCTGGGAAGGCCGCCTGCCCTGGGGACGCCCCCTGCCCTGGGGACGCCCCGTGTGGACCCTGCAGAGCTGCCAGCCACCGGTCCCAAGAGCTGGCTCCGACCCAACTGGACCCTGGAGCTTCCCCGCTCCCCTCCTCTAACGTCTTACCCCCAACAGTCCCTGCGTGCTCCCCTCACCCCCAAGTTCCCCTTGCAGGCAGCTTCTTGGCCTCCTCGCTCCTGTAGACGGGGGAGCTCCCTGTCTCTCCTACTGGCACCTCCCGGGGCCCCGGCCAGCCCTGACCACAGGCTTGGTCACGGGTGTCCCAGGAGAGGCCGTGCGTGTGCACCACGGCGTAAACACGGCGGCTCAGACAGCGACCTGCTTTCTGCCTGCGGGGGAGGGGCGGGGCCGCCCGGGGGGGCAACACTCCCGGGCGGGCACACTCATTGCTGCTGCTTCCCACCGAGGAGCCAGGCCCAGAGCAGCAGGGCATGCCCCTCGGACCCCAGAGCCCGCTCCGGACCCCGGAGCGCCCGACACAGGGTGCGGATGTCGCCAGGCACTGGTCTCAGGCCCAGGTGGGCTCTGGGCCTGGGCACCAGGCTCTCACTGACTAAGCCCACCTGGGCCCCCGCCCCAGAGGGGGCCTGCTTCCGCCAAGCT